CAGTAGGGCTGACCAGCTTTAATTTGAAGTTGTTTAGGAGCCCGTTTAGACATAAGAATTCTTTCCCCTTTTGTCGAAAAATTTTCATTTTCTTTTTGGAAATCAGCATTTGGTCATAAAATTTTCAATTTTCACTTGAAGATGTATTTTGAAATTTTTCGAAAATTTCAAAAACTCCAAAAAACTGTTTTTCAAAATTTTCACTTAGATCACTCATAAAACTTAAAAAACAATCCAAAATTATATTTATGTCCAAACAAAACTCTAATTTTTAAATACCATTTTTACTTGAATTTTTCTTTTTACTCTTTTTTTTTGGGAATTTTACAATTATTATGTCCAAAGGCCCACTAGATATAAGACCCACATCACAGGGTATAGAACAACATTAATTCTTCATTATATTACTAGATTATTACATATTAATATTTTTACTTTGGAAATAATTAAGAATTAGAGAAAAACTAACACGATTACGGTAGGATAAACAATAATGAGAAGAAAGATATTGAGTAGCTCGTCACATTGTGATCAGGGATCAGAATATCTTTTTAGTAGACTTCGAAGATATGCATTATTCTCTAAAGAATGTATAAAAAACTGAATACTGATGCTAATTTAAGATAAATTGCTGATGCATAAACTAAAATTTGATCTCATAAAGCAAGGAGGAGTTTGAAGTAGCTAATTCTTCTACTTGACAAATAGTCCAAGCGGATTGTCGCTACTGCTTCTTCTCCTTTTCTCATAGTCATGACAGCTCTATTTAAACCCTCATTGAATTGCTCTGCAGTGATCAACATACCAAGAAATTTATATCACTATAGGATTCTAAGCAGATGAATTAAAATCAGAAAATTAAGACGTCCATAATATTGTCCATATGTATCCGTACGTACTTCATCCATGTCAGGTTCTAAAGGATACTGATTAATGCTACTGCTAACTAATTCCAGTCTTTCCACAAGCATCTTATACCTACAAACTGGACATGATAACGATGTTTACATGGTATCTCTTTAGTTTTTTCCCCAACTTGAAATTCCAACAAACAAATAGCACATTCAGTCCTCTCTTCTTCTTCTTGTAAAATTTCAACAATTGGCCGTGCCTCTATCGAAGCCTTTGTCGCAAATACATCAACTTGCAAAAGTGCAAAACACTTACCACCAAAGGATGTGATGCAGTGTATGGAACTCCTCCTCCCTTAACTAGATGTCTCGGGTTCGAGCCCTAGTATGAAAAATCCTTTGGTAAAGAGCGCTTCCCCCCGAATGGGGCCCTACGCGGCGCGAATCCAAATATATTCGGGCTCCAACGAGGGTACCGAATACCGGGCGGAAAACAAAAAAAAAAGTGCAAAACACTTGTTCTGACAAGCTCACATTTTAAAACATAAATATTTTGTTATGCATTTCATCAAATACTTTAAATTCATACTTTTAGAAGAAAATAGGTGTTACTATGTAGGGGCTTAGACAATATTTGGTTTAATTAAAAAAAAATATTTGAAGTTGAAATTGAAAAAAGAGTATTATTTCACTTGAAATATTCTTCAAATCAATTTTTCAAACTTTAAATTCACTATTTTAAGTGGAAATTGAACTAATAGACCAAATCAAAAAATAAACATTGATTTGCAAATCATACTAGTATTATTTATTCTGATCACACAGTTTGAAAAACTCTATTGAACTTCAATCCAATACAAAACAAGATGAACTTAAAACTCAAATCCATTGTGTACAAAGTAAATAAGAGCTTTTCTAATAATCCACAAGATTTAATCATAATCAAGGGCGGAGAAGCTAGAATTGTAGCTACAAGTTTGGTATAACCTAATAATTTTGGCCAAAATCCTATATTTGTGTTAACAAATTCACTTACTATGTCAAAATAATTTATTTAAAACCCACTAAGCTGTATCTTTTAGAATCCAAAGCTCATAAACTCAAAATTCTGTCATTGAATACGATGAGCTAAGAGGGTGTCACTAAATTCTAAAGGATAGTGATTAATGCTACTGCTAACTAATTCCGGTCTCTCCACAGGCAACTTATACCTACAAACTGGACACGATCCATGTCTCTCCAACCACTTGTTAATACAATTCGAATGATAACGATGTTTACATGGCATCTCTTTAGTTTTTTCCCCGACTTGAAACTCCAACAAACAAATAGCACATTCTTCTTCATGTTCTACAATTTGAATAATTGGCAGTGCCTCTATTGATGCCTTGATCGCTGGTAGTGAAGGCCCCTCATTCTGAGCGGCTCCGAAATTTGGCGGTGATGATCTTATCGGAACCACATCGATTATTCTAGTTCTGGTGAATCCATTCTGACGAAGCCGTTGATCTGATATACCCACACCTGATAAATCCGATCTGATGACTGTCACCGTCGGCGTCGCCATCGTCTATAGTTGTAGATACGTAATGAAGGGCAAAGGTAGTAAGTATATTGGAAGGCAACTTGAGAAGGTTGGCTGTTTGTGTATATATAATGTAATGCATAATATAATGAAGAACCTAGTTATGGTTGGATTTGGTATAAGTAATTCTAAACCAACGTTTTAATTGGAGAAACTTGGGGGATTTGCAACTATACCCGCTTTTTGGATCACGTTTTAACTTATACCTGCTTTGCAAATTTTTTTTGCAAGCATACCCACTTTTCGCGTAAACTTCAGGCATACGGGCCTGAAGCAGCAAAGACAATCATGCAAACTTCAGCATTCTAGTAGACGAGCCTGGAGTTGTTTGTAATTGCTGGACTTAAGCATTCTACTAGCTGAAATTTTGTTCTCTATTTGCTAAACTTCAGCATGTTTTAGCTGAAGTTTTGTCCTGGATTCAATAGTTTTGTTATAAAGCTTTTTCAAAAATTTAAGCAGAAGATGCTAAAGTTATTTAGTTCATTTGTAAAAACTTCATCACTAAATAAGCTGAAGTTTTGTCCTGGATTCATTAGTTTTGTCATAAAGCTTTTTTCAAATACTTCAGCAGAAGATGCTGAAGTTATTTAGTTCATTTGTAAAAACTTCAGCACTAAATAAGCTGAAGTTTTGTCCTGAATTCATTAGTTTTGTCATAAAGCTTTTTTCAAATACTTCAGCAGAAGATGCTGAAGTTATTTAGTTCATTTGTAAAAACTTCAGCACTAAATAAGCTGAAGTTTTGTCCTGAATTCATTAGTTTTGTCATAAAGCTTTTTCAAAAACTTCAGCATAAGATGCTGAAGTTATTTAGTTTATTTGTAAAACCTTCGGCGCTAAATAAACTAAAGTTTTTGTCCTACAGTCGTACTAGCTTAAGTTTCAAAGCTTCATCATAATAGTTCAACTTTCAAAGCTTAGTGTAAGAATTGTATCAATAAAGCCGCAATCAGCTTGCTATTTGATATTTCATTCCTGGATCAATCTGAATTCATTACAAATATAATAAATACAGATAATGAATTATAAAATAGATGAAGAAAAGTTCTAAAACGCTGTTTCAACAAAAAGGGCAGTCACTATGAGCAAATCAGCAGTAAAATATACTACAAATTACAAAAAATGAAGAATAGAATAAAGAATAGAAAAGAAAGGAGCGCACACATAGCAGGAAAAAGGAGGCGCCTGAAGTTGTAAAAATTAGGGTATAGGTTAAATAATTTTAAAAATATGGGTATAGATTAAGTGGGGATGAGTATAGATTAATGGGATGCCCCGTGCAATTTTTCCGAGAAACTTTATATGGAATTCTAAACCAACGTTGTAATTGGAGAACCTTTTAAACACTCCGAATAACGTCTCTGTTTTCTTTATTTTTAGCAGAATGCTCTTTTTATTTCCTAGTACCTTTTAATGGAATTTTAATAAGTAGATACATAAGGGAGGATGGTCAAATCTTGTAAAATTCGAAATAGCACAATCTTAATGAAGCTCCAACTTGAGGAATAACTAGTCAAGTAGAGGGTTAAATTTGAACTATTTTCTCGAAGTATTTTGATACCTGAAATCCGTTTATCTCACACTGAAGTTCCATTAAATAATGATAGGACAAATACACAATGATTCGTAAACGACAAGGAATAATACGCTAAAGGTAATACTCCTCTCGAATGTTGTCAAAAAGCTTGCAGACTTGAATGGACCAGATATATATACTTCGGCCACCTATAAAGCGCTCTAGTAAGGGGCTTGGGCTCGAAAGCCGACCTTACTCAACAAGCACTTTTTTTTAATAAGGTTTGTTTGTTTTCACTCATTGAAGATTTTATCTACAAAAGAAGATCAATCGGAATACTCAAATTGCTTTTATTGACATCAAAGAATGTGAGGTCGTCTTTCTTTCCGGCCGCCATGCAGTTCGCTTTAAAGAGAAGGGGAGGAGCAGTTATTTATGTAATTACATTGTATTAAATTCAAAGAAAAATATTACAAGTTTGGCACTCTCTAAATGGGTTTTTTTTAAAACTTTTTTTTCATTGACGAATATTTAAACTTAGAGGGTGGTCCCCCTTGGACAAAAAATTTAATGGAGAATCAATTTGAGCAATTTTGAATAGTATAGGAATAAATTTGAACCTTTTCCATGTATATTGTTGGCCTACCATTGGAATGTTAAAACTTTCAATAAACTACCAGAGCTATTAAATGACTAATAATGATATCTTCAGTATAAATTTTGAAATATTCGTTCTAAAAATATGTCTTTTTTTCTTAAGTAATTTACCTTAACAATTAAAAACTAAAGTGAAAAAAACAATCCCTTAACTATAATTATAAGTGGTAAATATGTATGTACGAATCACATATCTTGCATGTATTAGTTTGACATTAATATTTCTTTTCTGAAAAAATCCAATTTAATTGAAATGCCATTTTTGACATAAAATGGCATTTGACATCCCGAGAGCGACAATAGTTTATGTTACTCCATTAAATAGAATGAATATCTTGTTGGGTTTAAATGTAAATAAACCCAAGGAAGCAAAGTTTTCATGGTGTCTCTTTTTGACTTCAACTTGAAGACGGAATGTGGCTGTAAAATTTTAATCTAAATTTCGTATCAGAATATTCGTATACCGTTAAACCTTGCAGCTAAGTTGCGTTTAATATACAAAAGAAGCAAAACTGAGAAAAAGGATAACACTATCACTACTGGAGAGAATCTCAGCTTGTGTTGCTCTCTTTAGATTAGGGTTCAGAGTCTCGAGCGAACCCCAAAACCAGTCTGTTGCTATAGTCATGGACTCCCCCGCTGTCAATCACTTGGATATCTTCGATATTTATCGCCGATATTGTGGTTAATTAACTTTCTCCTTTTTCTACTTTTAATTTTCATTTCGTAACTTTCTTGCTATTTATAGTTTGGCTAGTGCTATTAATAGACTGTGAGATGAATCTTATGAATGTCTGAATTTGGTAATATTTAAAGTCAGGATCGACTATAAGAATCCTTAATATCCATTCAGTTCAATTCGGTCCTATTTCATTCATGAAACTATGTAAAGCGCCATACTTTTGTCTTTGATCTGGATGTTAGGTTTAATTTATTAATATAGGTCAGGTTTATATAATTAATTGGTGTTTTTTAACTTAAGTTGCTCTTATTACTTCTGGGGTTTCCTTTGCAGAAATCATGTCTGGAACATATGCTGCTGGGAGCGGAGAAGACGACCTGCAGAAAGCGAGATTCTCAAGAGAGGCATTGAATCAGCTTATGAAGTTCGTGGAGTCAAGTTTGCACATAAGGCATGTATTCGGTAGGACATGTAACTACCAGCATTTTTTGGGTCTTCATTCAAGAATAGAAAAAAAATACGGTTTTTCATTTGTTTTGTAAGTAAAAATAGATTTATTCACTATCGGCAAAAAAAGATTTTTTTTTTAATGAATAACTGCAGCACGAAGGAGAGTTTGCTGGACTTGGATCCTTTATGTATGTAACGAATCCAAGAAGTCCATTACTATACAAGAATTGTACCAATATGCATTTCAACTTAACACGAGAAATTTTCTGTTTTCCCTTGAAATCACCTGCCCGTGAAAGTTTCAAAGGCTTGACTAATATCAAAGAATAGTTGGGACTTCTCTAGATGCGATGCATTTGAAAGTATAAAACTTTTAGGGCAAAATATATTGCATAGATACTATCCTTCAACCTTCTTTTGCTGATATAGATTTATATATATTGGGTAGTAGGTAATTGCAATTACAGATAAGTGAAGACAGTAGGTGACAATTGCGGTTTCTGGCTTGCGAAAACAAAGGTTCCAAGGCTGAATGGTTGAGAGAATAACATTAATAAACAAATCAAATTTGTGGTTCATAAAAAAAAAGATCAAATTGTTTGAACGAGGCAGATTTGTGGTTGAATCTATTAGTAATGATACTTTGGCCGTCAGTAAGAAATTCTCATATCACTTCTCTTTTGAGTAGGAATATATGTGTGATTTTATATTGGAAAGCCAAATACGTTTACCAAATATGTGATCATGTTGCTTAGTTGTGTTAGTTTTAAATCACCTTTCATTATGTGGGGGGTAGATAGATTGGTCATATGAGGTTGATAATATTGAGAAATCAGTTTTCATCCATGGCAGGCCGGCTATCTTTGAAGAAGTGTACAAGCTTATGTTGCGGTTAAATTTGGAGGTTTGTTGATTAGATGATGTTATGATGACTGAATTTGTTTCATTTGAAACTATCTTATATTGTTAATTAATATGGGAGCTTTTGTTGGGAAGGGGGATTTCTTTTCCTGCTTTTCTACTTCTTTTCCTCTTCTTTTGTGTGCACTGAGTTGGGGGGAGGTGAACATTATGGGTTCTGTTCCATATTCATGATTCATCCACGTCCATCTCCTTTACTGTTAGCCTTAAAACATTATTAAAAAAAAATTCCAATCATCAAAAAAGGAACTTACATTGCATTTCCTTTTTGTAGGCTGACTTCTCCGAGTTCTCGCGTTTCTATGATTTTGTCTTCTTCATTTGCAGAGAAAATGGACAAAAGAACATCAGTAAGTTGACTACTTGTAAATGATCTTGCAAGCGAGCTTGCTCATGCTTCATAAAGCATTTACAGTGCATTTAGCTCCATGTCAATCTTATTTTGCATTCAAAAATATTTTCAGCCATAAGCAAAGCTGTTACTGCCTGGAAATTAGTTTTAGCTAGAAGGTTTCGGCTACTTGACCACTGGTGCAACTTTGTTGAGGTAAGTGTCAGTGCTGCTAATGGATCTCATATCATGTGTTCGAATTGCATTGTTCATCTGTTTGTATGCCTTAAAATTGTAGAATTCTAAGAATTATTAAAAATTCATCAATTACATAGGTATGTGCTTGCTCGAATCTTGGCTTCTCTTAGATTAACTGAGTAGAGAATTAGTCTGCTTTGTAAAGTTTGTCTTAAATGTCAATGTAATACAAACAAAAGGTCTTGTCATCTGATGAAGAGAAGTCGCGGATCGTGGATGTCGCACCATTAGCACTCGTGTGGGTCGTATGGAAGGAGAGAAAAAGGAGCCCTTTTGAAGGGATAGAGAATGTCTACTTATATTTGAGGACAACCTATCATTCCTAGTTCTTTATGGACCCATGAAATTCCTGTTTGTGTGTAACGTTAAATGTCGTTAGTAGAGAATCATATTATGTTATAAATTCTCTACCTTTTTTTTTCCGGCTTGTATTCATAAGATTTTCCAAACAACAACAACACCACCTCTGTGCCAAACATGTGAGGGTTTTTCGTAAGATTGACTAGTTATAAGCTGGCTGCTCGTCTACCGCAATCATCCTCCTTTATTCGGGCTTGGGACGGGCAATATGAGCAAACTCACACCAGGCGGAGTTATAGATGAGATTTTCCCATTATTAGTACAATTATATACCTTGCAAAAGAAAAAAAAAACTTTGCCATCTGATAGAGGATTTGTTCTTTTTGTCTTTCCTCATTATTGTGCTCATTTTCTTATCTGTGTTTTTGGTTGGGGCATTGGGATTTTTCTATAGTAGTGGGATTGGCAGTCAATTCCTGGAAATTTTATGCATGACTTAACTTGTCTTTGTCAACTTCAAGGAGCTTCCAGGGTGGTGCTTAACTTCCCAAAGAATGATATTCTACTTTATGGTTGGGTGACTCCAGAATGTTGTGAACTGCTAAATTTCCTATATAGTGACTTGTTTACTGTCTCGATTCACAGAAAAATCAGCGATACAATATATCCGAGGATACTTGGCAGCAAGTTTTGGCCTTTAGCCGTTCTGTGCATGAAAATCTTGAAGGGTATGATCGGGGAGGTATTAATTTTTTGCAGTTGCAGCTTTTCAATTATCACCATCCAGAACCTGTCAATGTGACCCTTATTCATTCTTAATAGAGACGTATTGCTTAGTTTGTTCCTGAAGATCCTATGTTTTTCTTGCATAATATGTGCTGATGCTTAATACCTGAAAATAAATATCGCCAGTAAAAAGATGTTTATCGACTCTATATTAACTGAACTTCCAATCAATTTGTGGTTTTTGGTTACGATCTTAATCATGTTATTTGACATTTTTACTTCTTGCTGATGCAAATTTGCAGACTATTCTCTATACACCTGTCTGCTTCTGTCCTTTTGGAGGATTTAGGTGATATATTTCTAAAGAAGTCAAGCGGGAATATATGCACCAGATAAATTTGTACGGGATATGCTTCATAAAAGCTTCCTGTAAACTTTGAGTCATGTTGTCGTTTGATTAAGAAGCTTCCTGTATATATGGTGGTGAAATGTGATAGAAAGTCCTGCATATTTAGCAGAGAAATCTGGAAATGACCTCCATCGTTCTGTGATCTAGTAATCCACCTGTCGTTTACTTTCTAATGAGTAATAATCATAAGCTGTTACTGAAGATGCTGAAGAAACAGAGTGAGCTTAAGCCTATAGTAACATGAAATCTTATTTAGGCTGGAAGACCAAGAAGCATAATTAATTGGAGTCTTATGTATCAAATTTAAAGCTTCCATTGAGGGGGTCCTATCATATGTTGCTGGTGCAGTGCATCTGTGAGATCTGGGAATACTGCATATGCAAGAGTTATTCTCTAGCTATAGGAGATTAGAAACACAAAAGAGTTATGGATTGGCAATTCCAGTGGTCTGTTAGATAAAATGAGAGAGTATGAAGGACGCCATGTCCTCCAGTGGACAAAAGCCGGGTTACTTGCTGAGCTTATCTCAAGTCTTCATACCACTCGAAGAAATTCCACTAATTTGGCATTATGGGTGTTTCCTATTACCAAATCACCCTTATAGTTCGATGTGGTATTTATAAGAACTTAAGAAGTATTTTTTAAAGTTCAATGTCGTACTTATAAGTTTTGTTGCTTATAAGTTTAATATGATATCTCAATCAATGTACAATCTCTCAAACAAATTAGTTGACTATCATATAAACTGGGTACGAAGGAGAAACATTTTTACCTTCCAAAAGTAGAAGGTTAATTTTCTTCCCACTGCCTCAGTCATTTCCTCACTTGTCTTGTCTTTCTTTTCTGTTGAGTAATTATGTCCTTTACGATATACAGTATGGAGTGAATTTGGACTTCTTTGATATTATGGAACGATGATGATGTTTAGAATACCAGTTTCCTTTTTTGTGTATTTGTTCTTCGATCTTACTCCTTGCTCCTCCCTCCCCTTCCTAAACTAAAAAGATCCACTCTATTTAATGTTTGGGTTATTCTCTGCAGGAGCTTGGCCAGTTTTGATTGATGACTTTGTGGAGCACATGTACAGGTTGGCCATTAACCAATTTCCTTGTGCAAGTCAGAATTCTCATCTGCTGCTGCTTCTGTTATCTAGATTAAATTGGTCTTATTCATATCCTCTTTTCTTCATTTTTGGGGCACAAAGAGGTTATTCCATGGATGACATGTGTGTATCTTAGAGATGCAATTACCCCCTATTGCTTATGCTTAGAGAGTATAAGCTTGGTATTATATGACTCAGGAGATTGATCTTTATCAATCACATGTATCATTAAAATATTCATCTTATAGACAAGGTATCAAGAAATTCTAACTGAGATGATTGATTGTATAGAACTTCATGGACTTGGTATTGTTCTTGGACCATCATGGTTGGTAGTTCATGGTTACACAACTTGTGGTTGGTTCCTTCCCATGGATAATTTCATTGCATGATCTATTTTCTCTTTCACTGAGGATATGTCTAGATTTAGGTTCAGACCGCAGCATAAACTGATAGAGAAACCTTGGCCTTGCTTTTGCATTCTGTACCGACCCAATGTACTTTCTGAGGTCATTAGCAGTTTGTACTTCATTTTTCACTAGATTTGACGAGTCAGCTTTGCTATGCAGGATTGGAGGAGTCGATACTATTTCTAACTCATTCTGTAGCTGTGGCGATTCAGGAGCCCAGTCATTTGAGGATTCTTTCCCTGGTAATTGCTGCTGAAAAAACTTTCTTGGATACCACTGAATTATCTTTTAGATTATTCCATGTTTCTGTTGTTTTTGGTGCAGGACTGAAAGCTTTTCCTGGTTTGAAGAGGAAGTCTTGTGGCAATTTGCAAAGAGAAGAAGAATCATATGATGGGTATCCTGTCATGGATGTGATTGTCAATTCCAAGAGGAGGCACATTAAATTTGGCAACCAAAGTTTTCACTGGACTGACAACCAATCACATGGTTGCTTGGAAACGGTTAAACCAAACTACCCCTTAAATCATTCTGCATCTCCATGCGCTGTTGAAGGTTGCCTGTCCAAGAGTCTTGCCGGACTCTTCTCAAGTCCTTCGCGTTTGCAGTTTGATGAAGAAAGGAGAGTTTCCTATACATAGGTATGTGATCTGACAGGTACTTGGGGTATCATGTTTTGTTCTTTTTTGGGTGTGTAATTGTTCATTACTGCAAGCTTAAATGGAGCGACATAAATAATGACGATTCATATAGCCGACCCCACGTGCTTGGGATTGAGGTGTAGTAGTAATTATTATAACTTGTTCATTACAGCAATATGACATAAAGCAGTGTGGTCTAACATTTTGTTCTTGTTCAATTAGTTTTGGACGTGTTAATATCTGTTCTCTGGTATCTAATTATGTGCTTTTCATAGCAGAATTTGTGGTGATCTGGAAGGGGTCTGTTAATGGTCATCGGAGTCATCTCCCTGAGTTCTATTTCACACGGCTGATCAGCGGATATGATTGCAAGTATGCGGACAAGCATGCGAGTAGCTGCAAGTATTAGCTTGAAGTGAAGTAGAACCAGGGATCTATCAGTTTGTTATCTAGGGTTAGCAGCAGAGGAGAGTCAGAAACCAGCATCCTTGGACTTGCACCCATAGATCGATTACCGGCATTAGACAGTGTCATTAAGGGAAGTGCGACATGCGGATTAGATATCTGAACTTCACTATTATTATTATTATTGTTCTCCCGGTATTGCTCGGGAGAAGCGCTGGTGTCAATTACAGCTATGTTCTTAGTGCAAGGCTTTGTGCTTTCTTTCAAGTGATTCACTGATGCTGCTTCTAATTCTCTTTTTGGTTGTGTGCTCGTGTCCGAACATTTGATGTCTCTGGTCAGCAAATCTAAGGAGTTCTATCTGGTCTTTAAATCTGAATCACTAGACACCCAATTAAACAGATAACTGCTTGACAAGAGATCGACCGTGTATATCATCATTGCTGCAAGTTTCGACAAAACAACTTTGGTGGCTGATAGCCAGATGATCACAAAATCAATACGCCAAAAGTAAAATTTTAATCTATTTTCAGTCCTTGCTATCGTCCTCTCTCAATTGCCAATCCTTTCAAGAAGAGAGGGAGTCCCTTACAGTAGATTCCGACACATATGATGGACCTCCTTGAGAGCAGTATCAAATGGTGAAGAAACTTGTCGAAAATACTTGAAATGCCGTTATGACTAATGAGCTTACTATAGCAGCATATGTATTGAATGTCTCGGTTCAATTCAAAATATTACTTCTTATGTAGCATGCATTCAATTAAATTGATGTTGAAACCCTCGAGCATCATGCTCATATACTAGAAAACCGGTTAAGTGGAATGTTATGAGCCTAATTTACTCGCTTCAGAAAAAATTGGGGTCACTGGTCACTGATTTTATGCTTGATATTTGACACTAGCTGATTCCTTAAAACTTTCAACAAAAAAGAGTAGAGATTGGCTACATACAACAAAATCTTGGTAACTGTAAAGAATATATACATGATGATATATATGACCAAGTATGACCACCATACGTGAAGTAGCCAACATGTTGCATCCTCTCGTTTCATGACCAGAAATAGGGCTTTCAATCACTTGAGAAAGACAAGGGTTTTGAACTTATCTTGGGTAAGCACATTTGGAGCAATGCGATATACCCAGCAAAACTCGATATTTGGACCCTTTAGAGTTTAGGGAAGAGCTGAAACACCTTCATTGTATGGCCACAAGTTGTTGACATTTACAGACGCGTAATGAGCCTCACCACTGATACTTCGCAGCAACAAGAACTTCCTCATAGTTATGAGCAGCATTATCCCAACTTAGGTCTTGTGTCATACCGCGTCTCTGAAGCCCCTCCCAACTCTCTTTGTACTCGCGGTAAGTCAGTAAGCAATTTCCTAATGCGTGGATCAGCTGGTTAGCCTCAGCCCTACTGAAGGTCCATCCTAATCCTGACTCGTTAAAAGGATCAAAAGGCTGCACAGTATCTCTAAGTCCTCCTACAGCATGAACAACAGGAATAGTCCCATATTTCATCGCATAAAGCTGGTTAAGTCCACAAGGCTCAAATCTAGAAGGCATGAGCAGAATGTCTGCACCAGCAGTTATACGATGAGCAGTCTTCACGGAGAAACCAACCCATCCTCTAATTTTATCATTGTATTGGCACTCAAATTGCCTTAGCATCTGTTCAAGGTCAGGCCTGCCCGTCCCCAACATGACCAGTTGTACATCCTGACCCATCATCCAAGGCACTGCCTCGGCTATCAGATCAACGCCTTTTTGGGGGTCAAGCCTCCCGATGAAACCGATCAGTGGGACATCGTCGCGAATTGGTAAACCAAGTTCCTTCTGCAATGCAGATTTACATTGAGCCTTGCCAGTCTGCAGTGTGTCCAGGGAATAGTTTATGTAACCATCTGACTTTAAGTGAACGTCCAACTCAGGGTTCCACTCTTTTGTATCAATCCCATTTACAATACCCCGTAATTTCCAATCATTCTCATTAATTATCTCGTGCAATCCCCAGCCACCTTCGGAAGTTTTTAGTTCCCATGAATATCCATGACTAACTGTAACTACACGATCTGCTGTCTTTAGACCAGCTGCAAAAATGTTGAAATGCTCACCTCCTACTGGGTCATACAACCTGAAAATGTCCATGTAGTGTGGTGGAAGATCTACGTATGAAAAATCATCCAAAGGGCCACGACCCTGCACGCAACGGAATAAAATAGAGATGAAAAAAAATAGCCGGCTAAGATTGATATAACCCTTATTTACTTTACTGAAAGAAAAAAATAAATTACTCAAATCAGGAAATACTAACAATTGCAGAATTTGGGAAGAGAGTACTCCAACTACTCTACTCTTTTACATTTTAAACCTTTATTTTACTCTCTTCACATCAAACTTAAAGTAATAATCTACCAAAAATTGTAAAACAATTGCACAGGTCAAAGTAGTCATATTTAAATTGGACGAACAGAGTATTTCTAGTTCTCTGCTGCTTACATGCGTAAAATCTTGCTTACTCCATAAACCCTCCTCCGTCTCTTTCATGCAGCAAATTCTTTATCACATGAAAGTTTATCCAAATACACATCATATGAGGCAAGAAAAATAAAGAAAAAGATGATAACTAGTAGCAGAAGCAAAATTCGTCATTGTGCTTAATCATAGCACATGGGAAAAAGGTAGAATTGTACTTTGTTAATATAAAACATCAAGTATGACATATAATTTGGAAACTTCTTTAAGAAATTTCTAATTGTTCTGCGTTGGGTTGATCTCATATTGTTATAGATCATTATGAATGAAGCTTAATTCAGACTCCTTCCCCTGTATCAAATTTTAGTGCTCCTCTTTCTGTATCAATTAGCATAATCCAGACTCCAACAAAAGCATCAATTGTCTTGGTAATGCCCAGAGCAAAACTTTTGAACGAATTTCACATATCAGGCAACACTGCTATACAAGTCTAAGGTATGGTCTTTGCATGAGAAAAATGCAGCTGTAATAAATTCACTGGGTATGGTACTCCTGGTGGTACTAAGATAATGGAACTTGGTGACACAAAAATAATAATTATGTCCCAGGAGCACCTAGTATATGTACAATATCAAAGTAGTCGTTTATATTATTTATTTATTGATAACTGAGAAATCCCGGAGAGCTAGCTGGTGCAAAGTTCGAAACTCGGTGGATAATGCACGGATGGACTAGAAAACTGCTATAGATGCTAATGAAACTGACCTGGTGAGCGATGTTATGAATGAGCAGGAGAGATCTTGTATATTTCATCATTCCATTGTCACGATAATAAGCTTTCAGATAAACTGGCAATAAAGCAGTATGCCAATCATTAGCAATAAACACTAAATTTCCATCTCCATAGCAAACCCCACCACACGGCACATGCCAAGGAACCTGAAATTGCAAATCAGCCATGTTAGAATATCATCAAAAAAACGTATTTTAAAATCATAGGAACACTACAACAAAAACAACAACCCAGTGTAATCCCTCAAAGTGGGGTCTAGGAGGGGTAGAGTGTACGCAGACCTTACCCCTACCTTGTGAAGGTAGAGAGGTAAAATCACAGGAACACTAATAGGCCAAAATATTATGGCAGAAGGGGGCAGGGGGTGTAAACATGGATAAATAGTGCTCAAACAGCATGGCTAAGTTTATTTTGAATGTCAGCAACAAAGGTGGAAGCAGTGTCTTTTTTCTGGCATTCATACCTCAATAGCTGCTTTGCAAAATAAAACCATGCGCTTTAAAATATCCTGCAACAGGAAGGGAAAAATAAGACGTTAAAAGATAGCCAGATAGGTATGAACCAAAACTATATATGAAAAAGGTAATTTGTAATAAACATATATCAAGATTCAAGATTGCTACATCAATAAAGTGAAGTACAATGCAAAGAAGGTAGCTGAAAGTCAAGATCGGTGCTCAGCAAACCGATCCTTATCAGAATCTCTGAGTTCGTACAGAACATAATATTAAACCACATTAAAAAACCACTCCCTCTTGAACTTCCCCACCCAGAAAGAGAAAGGAAAGGTGAAGACACAACCATCTAAGACATCTCAATCCCATAAGGCCCAAATTTTGGTGACTAGGGAAAACATTATGTCGGCCAATCATTTAGAGGACTCAATAATAGAGACTTCACTGCAAATCTAGGAGTCAGAAATTCGGGGATTAGCATGAAATTAGTGGAAAAGTGGGGGCAGGGGGGGTATACCACACGGTTCCCTCCGTAAATGTTGTTCTCCAAGTGCCTAAACATGTGACTGTCAATGAAAACAAAATCCACACCATCAATAAAGGCTTGGAAGTAAGTCACTTCTACATCCTGCACAGTTTAAAAATTAAATCCTTAGAAATGGATAGTCATGGCGATAAAATCACAAGCAAAAGTTAAAAGCTATGTCTTATTAATGCAGTCAAACATACCTGACCATCAACTTTATAAATTTTTCTTACACCAGAATCTTGAGGTTCAGCATAGTTGCCATAACGAGGTGCCACAACCTAAGTTTCAGGGGAATGGGCAGAAAAAGGAAACTCCATCATCAAATACATTACATCCTATGCATCTTGGAATGAAAAGGCAAAATTGGAAGAACTAAACAATCTATAGCTTTGTTGGCTAGATAATCCGGATAGACAGCATATGTTTTGGAAACATTGTGAATTTATATCACAGACTAACTTGTCCAGTGGTTGGGAAGATGATGGATAGAGAATATAACACCTCGTGCAGAATATTCGGAGACTTTTTTGTGAAACATTCTGATACTTCCTAACAGAATTTTTCTGTGTATATTCTGCTTGAAACACGGTTCTTTATGCACACGGAAATTAAAACGTGAAGAATTAAACTAGTTACCATAACTCTGTGGCCACGTCGAGCCAAAGCCTTGGGTAATGCTCCCGCTACATCTCCAAGCCCACCTAAAAAACTCTTCACAAGTAAAAGATATGCTTGCACTGATATGTATATAGATGCATAAATACAATAAAAATCATGCACATCAAAGTGCAAAAAATGTGTACAAATCATGAATATTTGTACGTGCACAAGACTAATAGCATGTTTGGCCAAGCTATAAAAATCAACTTATCTTAAGAAGTGCTTTTTGAACAAATACTTTGGAGAAAAGCATTTTGTATTTGGCTAATCAATTTGAAAAGTACTTTTGAGCAACAATTTGTGCTTGACCAAGCTTTTCAAAAAGTGCTTTTAAGTATCAAATTACGAATGACATGAA